AAACATCTAGAAATCCCAAAGTTCCATGTTTGCAGGATGTATACAATATAAGATTTTGTGGAAGTTAGAAAATGCATATTTTTCGCATTCAGTTGAAACAAAAGTGGAATTTTGCAACATGTTTTACGCTACAATCGCGTTTAGTTTTAGTTTGGAATTACAAATTAAACCGACGTATTTAATTCTGACTGACTTCAAAGGCACAGACAAAAGAACTTTATTTCACCAAAAATTTATTTTTGAGTGTCTGAAACCTTAAAGTTAAAATGCTGATGTTAAAAATTGTAATCAGAATGTAATATTTTTTGAATACTTATATGTGTATTTTAAACTGCTGATGCTTAAAATTGCAGACAAAATGTAATATTTTAAACATATAATTTGTATTTTAAATTTTGTAAAAAAACTACAGAACTTTTGGGCTATATAAATGAAAGAATTATGATCCTTTTAGTCAAAAAATTTTGTTAGATTTAACGAGAATGTACATAAAATATTTTTTGATTGCTCATTAAAAATATTACCAAAAACATTATTTCATTTGAAAAGGATTTTCCCAATGGCATGAATTTCCGCTTGCACTTTCGAGGAGGCTTCTGCTTTCAAACCCTCTTAGAATATATAAAATATATAATAATTTACGTAATTTTCCTATTCCAAATATTAAAAATATAAAATTAGAAACAGAATTCATCAGAAGAAATGATTTTTGTGAATTAAAGTAAAATTATAAAAAAGGAAAGTTTTCAAATTTTATATTACGCCCAAAGGGGGTGTTTTTTTAACGTTTTGTGGGTTACCTTTATTTATTAAATATGATGTTCTTCGCCCTATTAACCATAAAATTCAATTCAACAGCAATATCACAAAATAATTTTAAAAGAGCATATTTTTAGAATTTCCGATACACAGCCTCGCGCGCTGGAGATAAAAATGTTTCCGTTTCCGTACAGTGGTGCTATTGCTCGTTTTGAAATCATTGAGTTTCTTAAACAAAAACTCATAAATGTTTTATAAAACATGAAATAGGTAATAAAACAAATTCCAAATTTGGGATTCCATATGCCTATATTCGAGTGGAGAAGCACGTTATTCAAAATTTGATGTAACTAGGACCGTTATTTTATCACAATGCGAGAAACATACACAAATTTTTGCAGATTCTCCGTTATTTAATTTCTTTAAGTATAATATTTGGTGGCAACAATCTGAAAAGTGAAACGACGTTTATAGTGAAACACCACAAAATGCCAAAACGAAATTAATAGCCATTCTGGGCTAACGGCCTTCGGGCAATTATAAAATATTTTACTTTATTCAACGAGTTTTTAAACATGTTTCATATTATATAGATTATTAATATTTTACTGGAAGACCTTTATTTTTAATTACTTATGCATATCGCTTAGGCTTTCTACTCACCATTCGTCAAGGTAATTCATTATAATTAGATGATACTGGCATGAAAATAAAGCTTCACTAACTTTATTTTATAATTTGGATTCCTTAAACTGATTTTCTGCTTCAGTGCCGCCCAAATGTTTTTGAATTAAGATTTTTTGATTAGGAATACATTAAAAGTTTTGAATTGATTTAGAAGACAACCACTTGTCTACTATCATGTTCGATGACCTTTTTCTAACAAAAATAAAAGACATGTATGATTTTTGCATGTGTCTAATGGTATTTTTTCTGCATTCATTTTGTTTATTTATTTTATTAACTATTTGCTACATTTTGCTTAATAATTTTAGTGTATAATCTTTAAATATATAAGAGGCTAAAGTGTGTGTCGCCGATAGTTTATTGTTGCCACTCTGAAAACTAAGAGCGGAAATTAACGTTTCCGAATTGGAATCCGAGGATACGCGTCTCGAATTTCAACTCGGCGCCGTTCCGTAGATATTCGAGAAAAAGAATTTGGCACGTAGCCAAATCCCTCTAATAGAGAAAACCCAAGAAAGAAAAAAGAAAATATAGGGAAACGTAGGGGGAAATTAGTTTTTAATTAATATTTCGGCTAATTAAAGTCCCAAGAAGACGCGAATGGTAAAAATGGCGTGCCACGGTCCTGCAGAATCCAACGGTGTGCTTCGCTAAGCCCGGCATATTTCACAAGTGCACATCAGCGTAGCCACTGAGGGAGGGGTTTCAAAATTGGACCAATCAGCTTCTATTGCTCTTGTGACGCTAAATCTTCGTGCACGTGGGCGTATGTTGTTTACGTTTCAATTTGCATTGTTTAGCAGTTATAAATGTATGGCGTAAAAGTAGAAAATCTCGTAATGCTTTCGTTTTATGAGTTTAATTAATCGCCGACATTTCACTTTCGCGATTTTTATCACGCATTGATATTTGGATTGATGTTCACGGCATGTTATCGCTCTTTACACTGAGAAAATGTCTCAAGCTACAATTAGCCTCGAATATTATGCATTTACTAACAAATGTGGATTAAAAGAATTTATGCATATAGTTTTTTTTTAACTTTATTTTGAGCTGAGAATGACTGTAAGTGTTACAATGAATCTAATGTTTTTCTTATTTCCGTGCTTCCATTCATTTGATTTTGAAAGTGTAAGATTCAGAATACATATTGTGTATGATCTGATTATATCCATTCTTAATATTAAAAGTTATATGTGAATAAATTGAATATATTCGTTGTGAATAGAGAAATTCATTCTGTTTGATGAGTATTTCTTCTGTAGACAGTACATTTAAGAGTGAGCAGTTATTAAATCTGAAATTTAACACACTAAATGCAAATTAGTAAAGCTCACTTTGAAATTCTGCATTGGTTATTATTATAGAACATCTTTTTCATATGGACTGAAATAAAAAGTACTGACTTCTATTTACATATATAACTGGTGTCAATATCTTTCTCATATGCATAGTTTTATGTAAAGATAGCATTTGGGCTCGGATGTTTATTACGTATTTCTTTCGTCTTATTTATCACTTTTTAAGTAATATTTCGCATGTATATTTTTTGCGGAGTATCCAACAAGTGTTTGTATTTATTTCAAATTCTTTCAACCAGGTAGTGAAATCTTCAGAATTGCTTATATTTGATCTAACTTCGGAATGAAAATTTTCAGAAGAAATAGACGATGTACAGAATTTTGTACAGAAAATTGCGTGGCAAAATATTTTCAATCATCTTGCCTAAACTTTAAAGCGTGCGAAAGGTCATGTGACACGACAGAAATATTATTGAATGCTCATTGGTCCATCCTAGAAGCCACTCCCTCGGTGGCTACACAGATGTGCACTTGTGAAATATGCGCCCGGGAGCCAGCCGTTTAGGAGGAGATGTTGTTACTTCACCCCATATATATATATATGTAATAATAAAATTCCATAGTCAAGAATACACTTAAAATTATAACTGTGTTCTTTTCAATTTTAATGGCGACGTTCTCTTATTTGAAAGACGTGAATTAAATCCACAGCCCCGTAGTCAAGTTGTTTTTCCCGTCTTTTCTACCGTACAGTTATATAATGTTCGGGAAGTATTAAAGCGAACTGGATTGGCTGACGTCATTTTGGAAGCTCCGCCTTTCCAGAGGCTATAAAAGGACTCGCAAAAGAAATCGGGGTTTTTCTTAAATGTCATGATGCAGTAACTCATACAAAACGTTATAATAATTATTTTATTTACTCCGGATATTGATTTTGTAAGCTATTTCTCCTGAATAATAATAAATGGATCCTGTTTTTTTAAAAAATATCGTCTGATAATTTAAGCTACGACTAAAGCTGGTACATCATATATATATATATATATATATGGCTCAAGTGCCTGTTTGTCGCCGATAGTTTATTGGTTGCTTGCGTAACTGTACTAGCCAATGGCAAATTTTACCTGAGCCTGCATTTGGACACGGTCAACTTTATGTTGCCTGTTCAAGAGTTCGTGAAAGACGGACGTAAAATTAAAAATAATTGATGGTCCTCTACAAGGCGAGCTTAAAAATGATGGAAATGTCTGCACAAGAAATGTTGTGTACAAAGAGGATAACATTTAAAGGTAGCAGACGATATTTATTTCTTATTCTAACTAATAAGCTGCTATTATTTACAATAATAAACAATGGTTAGATTGTCCTGGGCATTTTTGCCTCTGGTTGCAAAATTTGTTTATTTAGCTTGCAGGAACGTTGCCCTTAATAGCGGTGCACAGAAGCTTCCAGATGGCAGGGAGTCCTATATAGTATGTAATTAATGCTCCGAGAACATACGAGTGAGCTGCTTCAGAAACTTAGTGTAGTTTAAAGAATTAGATGGGTGAATTCTAAAATTGTACCTGAAAGTATACGTTCTAAGTGATATCGGTATACTTCAGTATTTCTCATTTCTTTTTGAAGAATTTATCTTATGTCTATACTTTCCTGGAATTATTTACAGCTATTAATTTTGCTATGTACTATTATTTATTTCAATAAATTGCCAGTTTCTTCCTGCTCATCTGTTGTTGAAGAAATCTCCACGAACCAGTTTGTGTATTTTTCCCTTCCGCTTTTATATTAACTTAAAAAATTCTGATTTATGACAGCAGCATAAAAGGGATGAACGCATACTAAAGCACAATGTGTACAAAAGAGTAGTATTGATAGCGAAATCTTAACTAACACATTTCTTAGAAATATGGAATACAGTATTATTACTACGTATATTCATATGTGCTTTTTAATCGTTATCTTATCTTTTAATTTTTCATTTAGTAATAGTATACATCCTATAAATTTATCCTCTCAATAACAAGCGAGAAAATAGTAAAAAAAGGAGAGGATATATGAGTGATTACGGTATCTTGAAAAATTTAGAGAAAATATTTTGATGATGAGTTTTAAATCTTTATAACTTAACTGCATATTCCAAATAACATTTGCATCTTGCTTAGTATTTTTCGTTCCCAGACTTTTGATAAGTTTTCCATGCACAGAAATTCCTTAAAATCATCTAAAGCAATAAAATGTATGTCTTCGTTTCAGATGTCAGGAGGAGAAATATCGTGACAACCTGCCCCCTACCAGTGTCATCATTTGCTTCCACAACGAGGCCTGGAGTGTGCTTCTGAGGACGGTCCACAGCATCCTTGATCGATCTCCACCTCACCTCATCACCGAAATCATCCTTGTAGACGACTTCTCGGACTTGCGTAAGTACAGAACTTAGAGCAGAAGGATTAGCTTGTCGGGAAATGAAGTCCCATGGGAAGACGGAAATAATATTTGTCGATGCTGGATATTACTCAGTATTATGTTTCGAAATCCATTTGTTTCGTGACCCATTCAGATGGACTTTTCAGCTAGAAACATTACATTTGTGCCAACGAGAGTAACTAGTACTAATTTATCCTTAACTGAAATTGCATGTTTAATTTGAATTCTTTGTTGTTTGTTTTAAACAAATTAAATTTAACCGCGTAGAATGACAAGATTGTAAACATTTTTGTGTTTACGTCCACTTTGGAATATGGGAAGCTTGTGTTTTTTCTTCTTGTGCTATTATTTGTGAAGTTCCCATGAGATTTTGCAACGTCTGTATAGATTTTCTCTTATTTATGTTATTTTTATAATTTACTAATAGTGAACGTAGACACTGCTCTGTCTTGGAAAAAAAATGACATGCCAAGTAAAATTGACTGTAAGATAAATAACGATAATTGACGTAGATTACACAATTTGACGTAGATTTTAACAAAAGCAACCTCAGCGATTCAAAGAATATTCACTAAGCACCACTAGCAAGTGCTTGCCAAATGTTTATGGTAATTATTTTCAATTATTTTAATAATTATAAAATAAAGTCTCTCTCAGTTACCATTATATATATACCGGGTGGCCATAATTAAACTGACAGTTTTCACAGTATTCTGTAGGGCGATCTATTTGCGAGAATGACGCCACATTTTGTAGGAAGATTAAACAAGACGGGGGACGAAGGATTTCGCGAAAAAAAAATTAGTTCCAAAAGTCAACGCTAGGGGAATATTTGGCGCTGTTTAATAGAAAATAGAGTGTTAACAAATGCAAATTAATACGGAATAAAATTTATCGTAGATCCATTCTTCTATGAGAACATTACCCGACAGGACCGGAAACCTGTTCTGTTAGCGGAGAGAAATGTCGCCACATGTTGAACAGCTTTGTCATTCCGGCACTTCAGCAAAGACAATGCCTGGGGGAAATCATTTTCATGCAAGATGGAGCCCCTCCGGACGTTGCTGTACAGGTTCAACAGATGCTACGACAGAAATTCACAACAGAAAGAGTCATTAGCCGCTACTTTGCAACTGCATGGCTACCTCGGTTGCTTGATCTTACCCCATGCGACTTCTGGCTATGGGGTTACCTTAAGTCCAAGATCTATCAAGGAGTAGTCCAGGACCTGGCTACGTTGAAGGATAACATATCACGGACTGTACGCGAGATTCCTGCAGACATGTTACTTTCTGCTGTTGTGCATACTGTGCACAGAATGCAATACGTGGTCCACAACAGCGTCACCCACATTGAACCTCATTTGAATGCAAAATAAAAGGTAATTTCAGTATTGATTTGCATTTGTTAACACTCTATTTTCTATTACACAGCGCCAAATATTCCCTACTTTTAGAACTAATTTTTTTTTTCGCGGAATTCTTCGTCCCCCCATCTTGTTTAATCTTCCTACAAAATGTGGCGTGATTCTCGAAAATAGATCGCACTACAGAACACTGTGAGCACTGTCAGTTTAATTATGGCCACCCGTTATATATGTGTGTGTGTGTTCAACATTCTACGTTCTACGCCATGTCAGCCACAAATCACTTGACACTCTAATCATGACTATTCAACAAGATTTGTATTTTGAATGCTGTTGCGACAGGAAAGGTGCAGTCACGCAACGTCTAAATAGGAACAGAGGTAGAAGCTAATGTACGCAGTTATCCAATATGGAAGCTTTCTAGGAGAAAGGTTTCAGTTCTAAAAATTTTTAGTTCATTTAGTTAAGCAAATAGTATCTACATACAAGAATCATTTTTCATTTCACGTTTTTAGGCCTGAAAAATTTTGAAGTTCTTCATTTCGTGCCTGTAAACACACTTTATCATTTTCCCGTTGATACAGAATTATTATTTATTAATTTATCATAAGCTACTTCTTAAATAATTACTTTGATTTTATATTCTGAGGAAATATGCTTTATATGTTGGTTTTATATATTTATTTGTTTATTGATGTTAGAAATATCTTTTAAGCGTTTTTCCAAAATTTTGAATTGCTGCGTTATGTTACTTAACTTATTAAGAGTATATAACTTATTAAGCATATAACTTATTAAGAGTTTCTAGTGGACTAAATATATGACCTTCGTATTCCACACTGCCTAGAAAATTCTTAATTCGACAAATTGGGATTCGAGGCGACACTGCAACTTTCACTTTTTATTTCAAATATTAATCGCTTAACATGGTGAGTCATTTTAAAACACTGGGCGAAGTTGTTAATATCAAATAGCTTTATTTTATATTTAGTAAATGACGCAATTTAAAATAAATGTAATCTAGTTCATAATTTTGACGAACATTTTCGAATAAAAATTCAAAATTTCATAAAGGTATAATCAAATTAGGACTACAATTTTGTTAAATGTTTTAGAAAAGGTTTTAAAAAAAGCTTGATAAAGAATTATTCAAATCTTATTTAAAGCTTTAAAGAAAAGACATCGGAATACATTCCTTGAAGCAAAATTACCAGACAACTGCATCCATGATCGAAAAATATGTTGTTTTTTGAAAGCAAGATTACTTCTAATGTTTTATAACCATTCTGCGTAACTACTAAAATATATGATTTTATTTTTCGTTAGAAAAGTTATTCATGCGTATTTTTGTTTTATGAAATACGTTTTGACGCAGCATTAAGAACATTTTAATTTCTTTATTTATATATTTACCGTTAAAGAAAATGTTCTTAACATTTTGTTGTATTTTTTTTACATGTATTTGTCATCTTTCGTTTTGTAAAATAATAAATTACGTAAAACAATGTGTTGTTTTTGCAATAATCAAATTCAATATTGTCAAAAATTCTTTCATAGCTTATTTGTAATTTTACAACACATCGTTTATTATTTTTATGCAGTATGACATTATATTTTAAAATTGTTTGATTTATTAATTCAGAAGTCAAACAACAAAAATCAGCGTTAATTTACAAAACTTTCACAGGACTAGTTTCGATGGTTTTACCGAACCATCATCTTCAGCTGCAAAACCGCAAATGAACAAGATAGGAAATAATGTTTAGATAAGATAAGAAAGCCTGGACAAGAATAAGCAAGTGGCGCCATCTGTTGGCGAAACCAGAACTAAACATAATTTCTCTAAAAGCCGAAGGCAAATTTGGATTGGAATTAGGATCGTTAACTAGAACAGAAAGATTTTTATGAATGTGAAATGCCTCTAGAAAATCCAGTTCTCCAATGGAAGATGTTTTTTGAATAATTTTGGCAGCAGAAAAATTGAAAGTGTGATTTTCGGACCAACAATGTTGAGCAACAGAAGACTTCTGTGTTTCCTTTTTTCTAACATATGCCTCATGTTCTTTGACGCGAAATTTTAAGGCTCTCTTAGTTTGGCCAATGTAAATTAAACCGCACTGGCAAGGAATCCTATAAAATACCCCAGGAATTCATATCCGGAATGGGGTCCTTGAGTATAGAAGTTGGAATTTTATTGATGGGAGAGTAAACAACCCGAAAGTTAAATTTCTGCAAAATATGTGCAAACTTTATAGCTAATTGATGGAAAGAAGGGAATGACAACAGAATTTTATAATCTCCTAAAATAAGAGTGTGGCTTTTAGTGTGTTGAGATGAGAAATTTTTTAACTGCTTGATTAATAATGTTGGGTGTGAAAAGCCCTGTCAATAGCTATTGCTTTTAAATAATTTAGTTCTTCATCAAGGGCTAGTTTGGAGGAGCAAACTTGAAGAGCACGGAAAACATAGGAATAAAATGAAGCTAACTTTTGTTTAGTCGGATGACATGATTTAAAGTGTGGTGGAAGGCAAACCGATGAAGGTTTACGGTAAACTGTAGTACTGAAGTTGGATGTGTTACGTGTGACCAGAATGTCGAGAAACGGAAGAGAATTGCAAGTCTCAAGTTCAAAAGTGAACTGAAAATTATTCAAAATTATTCAAAAAACATCTTCCATTGGAGAACTGGATTTTCTAGAGGCATTTCACATTCATAAAAATCTTTCTGTTCTAGTTAACGATCCTAATTCCAATCCAAATTTGCCTTCGGCTTTTAGAGAAATTATGTTTTAGTTCTGGTTTCGCCAACAGATGGCGCCACTTGCTTATTCTTGTCCAGGCTTTCTTATCTTATCTAAACATTATTTCCTATCTTGTTCATTTGCGGTTTTGCAGCTGAAGATGATGGTTCGGTAAAACCATCGAACTAGTCCTGTGAAAGTTTTGTAAATTAACGCTGATTTTTGTTGTTTGACTTCTGAATTAGTATTTATTCGGCGTGTTATTGTGTCTTAATTGTTTGATTTATTGTTATATTTTGTCATTACTTTAAACCTAATTACTGTACTGTTATTAAGAAGCTAAAATAACATAAAAAAGACAAACTGAACGCCCCAGCAAAAACTTTACTTAAAATTTTAAATTTTAACTGAAGTGAAATTTGTGTGTGTGTGATTTCAACACATTGCAAGAAATATTACCAAAATAGAGTTTAAAATTTAAATTATTATTAAGTCCGCATAATATTTAAATTATTCAAGCCACTAGATATTCAACACAGCCGGCCTCATGAAATTGTTATATGTATTTACAAATAATTAATTTTGGTAAGACTGTTAATTGTGATTTCTACAAAATTATTAATTCTTAATTTACTTTACTGTGACTTAGAAATTATTTTCAGGGTCAAATATTTTTATTACGACCGAGAGCGATTATCTTTTAGAATGGATACTTTTACAGATATGCTGGGGAAACAATTTGAAAGAAAATTTCCATGCATTCGTATTCTTAGAAACATGAGAGACCTTAAAAACCATGATGTATGGTTTAAAGAGTCAGTCACTTAGTGCATGTTAAAGTTTTGAACTTTCCAAAGAATATTATCATAAAAAATAATAATAACTTGGT